GGAGACACTGTGTTTTGTTGTGAAAGTGAAACTACTTTGTTTGGCCTTCCAAAAGAGGACACAACTAGAAATCAGTGGTTAAGTTGTATTTACAACACTGTTACAGAACACTTCAACCCAAATATTCAGATGTGTGCAGCACATTTTATGGAGGACTGTTTCCTGATCCTGGGAGAGTAGACTATGCCGGCTGTTCTGACTCACAGATACTGTAAGTATGTGATGCAACGTGTAAAAAGACAGTATAAGTTATTATAATCAGTTATTATGTCCCCACTGGATGCAACAAATGCCTCGTTTATAATGGGTTTTAATGTTTTTATCTCGTCACTCCGGGTCAAGGCATCACAGTATGGTAAGGGGCATAACATTTCCGTCACACGCTTGAGGTATTCGGCCAATCACAACGCACTGGATAGCTGGCCAATCAGAGCACACCTCACTTTTCAGACTGATGAGCTTTGTAAAAATCGACGTGTTTCAGAAAGGCGGGGCATAGAGGAGAAACAATAATGTACAGTGTATGGAAAATAATGTGTTTTTTGAACCTTCATCCACATAAACACATTTCATTACACCAAATCCACAAAATAATGTTCTTTTTAGCAACATCATATGACCCCTTTAAAATACATACCTATATGTTTCTGCTTTTTTATGAATTAGTAGGAGTTATAAAGACAGATCACTTGTGATCATCTCAAAGTGAAAATGTTGATAATTTCACAACTAATTGCAAGTCAGAGTGTTTGCAAGTCATGTTTTGTGCCATCAACTTTAATTATATTATATAGAGGGGATACTGATTCCCAAAATGTGTTAAAATATAAAATAAGGGTTTCCTTCCCTGTAAAAGCCCAAATTATGTATTAAGCATAACTTTAGCTTTTTTCGGGAGGGATATTGCTAAGTGACTCTTGGCTTTGCTATGCCCATTTCATTCCCTTTGCGTGCAAAACTTAATTAGCATTGGAATATCTTTTTCCCTGTTAACACGTACTAAAGAAACAGAACCCAAAGAAAACCTCATATCAAGGAGCAGTTTAAAGGTGCACTCTGTATTTTTCCTCATTAAAATGTTTTACACATAATTAATAACACTGACAAATATTATTATAATAAAGATCACTCATATGAGATATGACTCCAGATGTATCAGAGGGTATAATAATAATAATAATAATAATTCAGTTTTAAAAAATGACACATTGAATGAAAAGGTTTATTTGTCAATCAATTTGGTTTAATAAAAATCTTTATTGAGTTAGTATGGCAGTAATTAATTCCTGCATTGACAAAAATTATCATTACATATGAATGACTATGACCTTGAAATATTATCAGCATGTAATTGTGGCTTGGCCTGCACTGCACACCTCAAATTTGAAACATTTCCCAGATTTTTCACACACATTTCAACATGTGTTTCTGATCACCGTTCATATTCATGAACACAGACCCTACGGTGTGACAGGAAATGTCTAAAAAGGGAAAAAGAGACCCAGAAGGACAGTTTGTCTCGTCAGCAGTTCTTTATGCTGTGAGTTATGGAGGTCAGTAAGTCTTTGATACTTTCTCAGCGTTCAGGAGTGCAAGGAGGCCCTGTCAAGGGTCCGGGGACAGTTCTCATTGTCAGCGGTTCTGGATAGCATTGCCCACATCAAATAAGGTTAGATCAATTTTAAGAGTTGTTCTGCTCAGCAGTGTTTTCTAATTTTTGTTCTTGCTGAGCAAATCATATTTTTATTGGTACTCTTTTGAGCACCAAACTTAAGCAGTGTGTGCTGTGCCTACTAAAGACTTTTGGAGAGTTTTGTAGCAATAACTTTTGTTACAAGATTGTTACATGTCTGTACTTTACACTTTACAGTCAATTATAAGTTATTGCATATTCTTATATTAAATGTGATTTAATATAATAACATTAAAATATAATAATATATTTTATTTATTCATTATTTACTATTTATATTAGAATTATACATACAT